GGTTTTGGTGCCTGACATAGGGGTTTGGGTGCGCGAAATCGTTGTCCACCAGCGCGAGTGCATACGCAAATGGAGCAAGGCAATCAGCGCATGTTCAAAATCTAAAGCAGCACAGCACGCACAGCACCCCAGTCAGTATGGTAGAGTGGCAGCAAAATCAGGGGGTGGGCAACCACTGACGGAATGATGGTCATCACTAATGGTTGCATCCTTGTTGTCGTCCTCCCGCTGTTGAGTCTTGGTCGTCGTGCTATCTGTCATAGTCTTCCTCCTTGTCCAGTTCTTGTCACTCGATTTGCGGTTGCCTTTGCGGATGTGCTTGTTCTATCACGAAATGCTGCGGCGATGTTAGCAGCTAGCATTGCACAGTTCTTCGTCTTCTACCAGTAGATTTTGTCATCGTCCTTGATGGTTCTGACACTTCTACACTTCTACATGTTTGCCGTCCATACCACCTTCCGTGTTCTTCCTATGCGGCATCGCAGTCACCATCTTTGCCATGTTCGTTTTCCACCGGCACCACCACCATGCACACTTCCTTCGATGTTTGTAACCTCATGTTTACTTTGCCGTCGGAATGGTGCATCTAAGCTTGAGAAACATCAGCTTTAGACTCCAAGCCCTGGGCCCGAAGCCGTGAAATCCTGAGTGTCCGAGTTGCGAGAGTCCAGACCACAATACCTGAACGTAAAGCCTAAAGCGCAAACCCTAACCCGAAGTATGAGAGCCTGGCGCCATGTTCATACGGGCGTATTCGGGTAAGAAGCCCTATAGAACAGGTGTTTTGGGCGAGATCTTTGTGTAGCTGTTCTGGCGCTATCATAAGGAGATTAAACGTCTGACTGAAGTGCGAATGCCAAGGCTCTAAATGCTAAGCCGTTAGACTCTGACCAGGAGCCCCGAAACACTGAAGCCCCGGACCCTAAAGCCTAAACCGAACCAAAACTGCCCAAACGCGAAGCCTTAAGCATTTGAAGGCTTTCTTGATGGGATCTTCAGAATCCTAAACCCCAAACCCCTCAACCCTAAAATTTCTAAAACCAAGACACAAAACCCTAAGCCCTAAACCCTAAGCCCCTAAACCCTAAACCCTAAAGTGCTCTCCTGACGCACAGTGCAGACGGAAAAATGTGTCCAAACAAAAACACCCTAAAGTGAAGTAAACTCGCGGTCGTTTGTCTTGCGATTGGCCGAAGAGATCGGTCTCCAAACGCCCAGTGGAAGTACCACTTTTCAGACTCTCGCAGGATGGAACAAGGGTCGTTCAAAAAAGACAAACCCCTAACCCCTAAACCGTGTGTGAAGTTCAAGTGAGAGGGGTTAAGAACTGCTTGCCCCTGTGGGCTCTCCAGACGAATTAATAATAGTGCAGACGGAAAAAGGTGTCATAAAAACCCTAAACCCAAGCCCTAGCACCCTGGCTCCGAGGAGCACATCCTCCAGGGCCAGCGCGGCGACCACCTGGAGCGCTCCGGGCTTGTAATGTAGGAGCCTCAATAACTAGGGTTTAGGGTTTAGGGCCTACTAATTAAGGGCTTACTAATTCTTTGCATTGTGGAAGTCAGTGGAAGTCAGTGTTCAGGCGATTGCACAAGTCCTGATGGGTTTAGGGTTTAGGGTTTAGGGTTTAGGGTTTAGGGGTTTCTTTAAAGGGTTCCTTCAAGAGCTTTAGGGATTAATATAAGAGCTTCAATAGGTAGAATAGGGTTTTGGGGTTCCTTTACGTAGAGGGTTCTGTAAAGAGCTTTAGGGATTAATATAGGGGCCTTTATAATTAGAGGCGGGTTTTGAGGTCGATTATATTATGATCGTAATAAAGAACCACCCAAAACCTATTCTAATGATTAAGGCCCCTACAGTATTGGTTTTAATAGTGCCTTGGGCCTAGGGTTTAGGGGTGTAGGGTTTTCGGGTGGGAGTCGGTATGTTGGGTTTCTTGGATTTAGGGCTTCGGGCCTGGAATTTCTCATCGAGCTGGAGCTGTGAACCCATCAGGCTAATTTGGCAAGGGCAGCAATGTCACTTTATGCACGACAGACAACCTAAAGCCCGAAAAGCAGCTAGGTACGTCATCGAAGATGGGCCATGGCCGGCCAGCTACAATCGCGCTCGTGTGGACTTCCGCTCTGCGAACCAGGGCCAAACGTGCGTGACATGGACCCTGCGGGCGCTTTAAATTCACGGCGTTTTGCGGTGTAAGCTCAGAGCACATGAAGCCTTGCAGTGCTGGCAGATGAAGCCTTGCAGTGCTGGCGCACGTAAAAGCAAGTTGGGGGAGTTCGCGGTTCAGAGTTGGAGGATTTTGGGCTCAGAGCATGGTGCCTCGCAGCAAGGCTACTTGTACCAGGACTTAGTACCAGTAGTATGAGTAGTGCTAGTAGTTTTACAAGTAGTAATACTGGTAGTACAAAGTACTAGCATTGCTACGAGGATTAGTAGTAGTAGGAGGAGGAGCCGTCGGAGTAGCAGGAGCAGTAGTAGGAGTAGCAGCTGTAGCAGGAGCAGGAGCGCAAAGATGAGTATTGGAAGCAGGAGAAAGGGGCAGCAGCAGCAGCAGCATCATATTTGCTTGGGATACATGTTGTTTTTATAATTTCCGGCAGGATAAGGTCGCTAGCCACCAGTACTCGGGCACGCGGGGTTTGTGGGGGCTCTGATCGTTGATCTGCCGGTAGCTCGGAAATTCTCACATTGGTGCTCGGAAGCTCGGCTGGATGCTTCAGAGCATGGGCACGTTGTAAACTCCTTGACATGCAGCCGATTCCCCCTGAAGGCGCCCGAAGCCCCAAACCTCCCTAGACCCTAAACCATAAACCCTAAACCCCAAAACAAAGAAACCTAAATCCCTGAACCCTAAGCCATCCTAAACCCTAAAACAGCAAACCCTAAAACCCTAAAGCCCTAAACCCTAAACCCTAAACCCTAAGCGGAGCCTTGCCGGCCTTGTGCGAGTGTGAGAGTCGAAACCCTAAGCCCACCGACAGCGAGAGGGAAAAGCCCACTGGCCTGCACCCCCAAAATCCGATATGGGGGTCTCCGAAAATAAGGGACGCTAATATAGTACCTTAAATAATAGGATCATTATTATAAGGACCTAATATAGTACCTTAAATAATAGGATCCTTATTATACGGACCCCAAAACAAGGTACCCCTTATTTTCGGAAACTCCCATATCCGTCGAGGACTTCGAACTTCACTCCGGCGCTCTTCGGGTCGGGCCCCCTCCTATCTTTCACCATCCGCATGTCCCTGGGTGGGGCTCTAGGAGATTTTTTAGGGTTTAGGGGTTTAGAATTTAGGTTTAGGTTTTAGGGGGTTTAGGGTTTAGGGTCTAGGGTTTAGGGTGATGTTCTAAAAGGGATAGTTATCGTACTCAAACATGTTGGGAGCCTTGAAGTACAACCCAGGTCCTTCCAGACGATGCTGAAGAGCTTGGCCGCGTGAGCCGCGTGAGCGTAAAATGGGATGAGAGCCCGAGCCTCCAGAACTAGTATTACTACTACAATTACAATTATTCTGATTATTCGTATTACTATGAGTACTATTACTACTCTACTACGACCTAGGAACTCCGACAGCTTTTGATTTCAATCGTGGTGAACCCACATGTATTTACAGCACGCAGTAGGGTTAAGGGCTTTTGCAGATGCGTGATCTACGACTCCACGAGTGCGTGAGGATTCAGGGTTGGGGTTCACTGCTTCCTGGCCGGCCGTGTCATCGTACAGTTTTGTGTAAGTAGGAAGCCGTCATCCTACATTCCGAAGCCCTTCCAAGCCTGAGCTCCATCACCTCAAGGCGGCTTTAGCTCCCATGCACTCAGGATCAAACCCTAAACCCCAAGCCCTAAATCCTAAACCACATCGAGAAGTGTACCAAAAATCTTACACCTAAGGCCCTGAACCCCAAACCCTAATCCCTAAGCCCTAATCCTTAAACCCCTTAGGAAGAGACCTTGAACCCGAAAGCCCCCGAAGCCGCTCAGACGCAGGGTATCGAGACCGAAGAAGACGCCGAAGGTGATGACGGCCGGGTGCCCCAAAGAAGGCTTTGGGCTTCCGGGTTCCTGAACTCTTCTAAAGGGATACTAGAAGGGATGTTAGGGTTCAGGGGCCCACTGAACTCTAATTATAGTAAGGAGCCTACAAGAACAGTATTGGTAATCATCTAGGACCCTACGTTGAAGGGTTTGCTGGCTTTTTTAGCTTAGGGTTTTGGCATTACCTTCGTTGGAGCAGTGCTAGAGGATGAGACTGTTACGGCACTCTCGGCTACTCTTTTTGACCTCTCTTACGACGGCTCTTCCGACGACCTACGATCATGTTTGATACTCTGACTACTCTTACTACCTATCACCGCTGCCACCACGGCGATGACGACTGCTACGGTCACCAGGACGACGACTTCTACGACGACTACTGCTACTGCTATTGATGTTCTCGCCAGCCCGACATGGTGATATGCTCCATACCGGGGCCACTTTCATGTAGCTGCGACGACGACGTCGATGAGGGAACTTAAGGGTTCGAACTGCCTGTCCTGGCAACTCCCAGCCCCAAGCCGTTCAGCCCACAGCCTAAACCCCAAGCACAAGTTCAGGGCTTCGCGGGACCCGCGAATTTAGGATCAAACCCTAAACCCCAAACCCGGATCAACCTCCCGAAGTGCGGGAACCCCTCCTTCCGGCTTCATCGCTGCCTGGCTTAGTCTCACCACGTAGCTGCGAACGCCAAGCATCATGGGCCTAGGCGGGGGCACTGGGATTACTTCGGTCTGTTTTTAGATGCAGCCCAGGCTTTGGCAAAGCCCCCTGAGTTTCCCAAATGTCCTAATTACTGTGAGATTTGAAGCGCTAGTTCTTCTAAGTCAGATCCTTTACTCCAAGGCGCCAGTCTCAGACCTAGAATCTATAGTCCAAGTTCCTTGACCTGGCATCCTGCATGCTACGTTCATTGAAGAAGACGCAGCTACAAAAAATGCTGACAGCAAGCAATCCTGCGAAGAGTCATGTGGGTAGTTGTCGAAATTATGGTCCCTCTTGGGGTACCCTAAACAATAGGTGCCGTATTATAATAAGGACCCAAAAAGGGACCATAATTTTGACAACCACCCATGTAGATGAGCCTTGTGTTCCGGAGCATGTCCGGCGGGGAGCGATCCCCGATGGCGGCAGAGGCCGGCTTAGAATTCTGGGTTTAAGCAGCCGCCGATCGTGGCAGAGTCTGGGAACAGAAAGAAAAGGTGAAGAAAGGGGCCTTAATTCTTAGGATAAGGTTTTGGGGTATAGTATACTATAATCATAGTAATGAGCCCCCAAGCAGTATTGACAATTTAGGCCCCTATAGTAGGCAGGAAGGTTTCAGTTTCCAGCCCTGTGGGCAGACACAGCATCTTCGGGGTCCTTTCCCAAGAAAAGGGCTCAGGAAGGATCCGTACACGTCATTTCAGCTTGGAGCCATTCTTGGCTATTGTCTCTACTACGAGGAATCGTAAGACGTGGCTGGTAAGACTCGTCTTGCTGTTACCATCTCTGGTGTTGTCGTTGTCCTAGAAGTGTCCTTTCCCGCTGCCTATCGTACTACCCCAGGAACCAATCTAAACCCGGAGCCCTACATTAGCATGCTTGTGCTTCCAGAATCTAAACCCCAAGCCTTAAACCCTCAACCCTGAACCCTAAACCCTAAGCCTAAGCCCTAAACCCTAAACCCTGAACCCCTAAACCCTCTGGGCTTGCTGCGGGCAGATCGAGTGCCAGATGTCGTGTTTCCTTCGATTTCCATACTGGCAGTTACTCAGAGACTCCAAAACCCTTTAAATAAGGAATATACCTTAAATTATAATGGGAACCCTAAGATTTAAGGTATATTCCCTAATTAAGGGGTATTGGAGTTTCTGAGTACCCTTCTGCAAGGACCCTGAACCGAGACCCACCACATTAACGGCTCTCCAACGACATAGCCGGTACTCCATAAAGACCAGTGCAAGGAGTGCTCGTCTTCCTCAGAAGTTCCACGCATCTTTCCTTCGGAGTGGGCTGCCGCAGCACTCCCATCCTATGATATCCTATGTAGCGAAGGGGCAACGCCGTCCGTTCCACGAGGGTCTAGTGAGTCTGGTGAAAAAATAGTCATTGGGCTAGGCGCTTCGAGAGCTGCTGCTATTTCTTTGTAGCCCTAGACACGGACGAATGTCCCGGAGCAACAACAAACAACGCTTTTTTCGGTACCAGCCCGAAACCCTAAACCCCAAATTCTAAACAGGCAGCTGCATACCATTGACCCTTGACCTGGAGATCCTAACACAAAAACCCTAAACCCTAAACCCTAAACCCTAAACCCTAAACCCTAAACCCTAAACCCTAAACCCTAAACCCTAAAACCTTATCCCCAAACCCTCAACGGCTGTGTCCCATCCTTCCCGCCCTTCTCGAGGACTCCACTTCCATGTCCTCCCCGGAGAACGGCGCGCCGCGTACCTCCGCTTTGATTTTAATTAAGGTGCTCGTTTGGGGCTTAGGGTTTAGGGTTTAGGATTTAGGGTTTAGGGATTTAGGGTTTAGGGATTTAGGACTTAGGGTTTGGGGACTTATGGATCTCGGAAGCCTAAAGCCTCGGAGCCTTGCAGGGCCACAGCCCGATGATGGGTTGTAGCCCAGAGAGTGCAGTCCGAACACCAAACCTGAACCACAACATCCACATGATGATCTTGCTAAGCGTCCCAGTGGATAGCACTAGAATTCTCAAGAGCACCCCTATTTCAGAGCCATAGAAGCTGTACCCAGACCCCTGAGGAAGAACCCCGAAAAATTACTCTTCATGAGGAGATGCGATCCCCCAACAGGGCAGGATACTACAACAACGAAGCTTCAGCCTCAAATAGGAGCCTTCGATCCGGGCCCATGGCCATCAGTCCCAGACCGCTGAGAGGTTCCAGAAGGTAGAACTCCTAATTTGGGAACCTATACCGCTACAGGGTACTTTATAGGATTTAGGGTTTAGGGTTTAGGGTTTAGGATCCCGTTCAGGGATCTAGGGGGTGTGGGTCAGAACCGCAGTCCTTGAGAAGAGCCTTGCAACCTAGTCTAGTCCAGTCCAGAATCTTCAATACGGCCCCAACATCCGAAACTCTCAATAAGAACTTCAGAAGCTAATGAGAACATCAACCCCAAAACCCTCAACAACAGATTTGAATCCTGAACCAGAGCCCTGAAGAAGCACTTTGACCATCAAGGGCATCGCCTTCAACAGGAGCCGCAGGCGATAAATCCGAACCCAGAAGAAGAGCCCTAAGCCGTTACGGCCCGATTCGACCGCCTTAAAACCCGTTCGAACTCCAACTCCTGAAACCCGAACCCCCGAACCCCCTAAACCCTATAAACCCTAAATTCCTCAACCCCAAACTCTGCAGCCTTAAACTGTAACCCCGAAGCTCCTAAGCCCCAAAGAGCCTGCATAGCCCCCACAGCCCCCCTCCCTGTTTTGCGGATGCATCGGAAAAAGGAGCACCCCCAACAAAAGCACAAATCCCTCCCTGAACCCTCAGCCCTAAACCTTAATCCCTGAGCCCTAAGCCCTAAACCCGAAACCCTAAGCCCTAAACCCGAAACCCTCAGCCCTAAACCCAAGACCTTTCCCACAAAAGAATCTAAACCCTCAAAGCCCTCGGAAGCCTCCCAGGCATGTGGCGCCTTGGCGACTTCGAGCTCGGTCCCTCCTTGGGCCGAGGCCTCGCAACGAGACCAGGGTAAAGGGCCTCTATCTCCTTTCTGCTTTTTAGGGTGATCTATAACTGATAAGGCAAGGAGGAACAACGATGAAACTACAATAACTAGGAACAGGTAGATATTATCATTGTTTTGAGATTGCAGGCTGGTTGAACTTGGTTGTATGGTTGTTTTTTGAAGGGGAGGTGTTGATTTGTGGGTGTTTGTTTGAAGCAGCATTCTCCTGTGAAGATCGGATTCTTCAAGGTTCTCAGGGCCTGAAAGTGTTTCAGGGCTTCGGGGTTGATTCTTCACTTGGTCCATTTCAGCTTTTAAATGTCAAGTTTCCAGGTTTGGTGCTTCAAGAAAGGAAGGGTCTTGGCTCTTCAGGGTCTCACAGGCATGCTGTAGAGGCTTGTGCAGCTGTTGGGGGCTTCGCAGATGCAGATACGGAGTTGTGTAGGATTTCGCATCTAGGGAGAGCGATTTACGGCTGACGGCTTCAGGGTTCGGGGTTTATTTACGTACCCTAAGCCCTAAACCCTAAACCCTAAACCCCAAACCCTACACCCTAAACCGTGCCTGGATGTACAAGGTTTGGGAGAGAGAGAGCCTGCCTGGTCCTGGAGATGGTTCCTCACGAGAGGGCCAGGCCTCTCAATCCCTCATGCCTCAAGCCCCAAGCCCCTCAGCCCCTAAGCCCCTAAACCCTAAACCCTAAACCCTAAACCCTAAGCCGTAAACCCTAAACCCTAAACCCTCAACCCTCAACCCTCAACCCTAAGCCCCTAAATCCTAAGCCCTAGACCAAAAGCCTGATGTCCAAATCGAAAAGTCTCCTTTCCCGTGCAGCCCCGAAGTGTAAAGCCCCAACCCTGAAACCCAACTCCGCAAGCCCCCTTACGACAGTGCACAAACCCCAAAAACTGCCCTAGAAAAGCCCATGACAACGCTTAGGGTTTAGGGTTTAGGGTTTAGGGTTTAAGGTTTAGGGTTTAGGGTTTAGGGTTTAGAAAAGCCCATGACAACGCTTAGGATCTAACATCCTGTGCAACACCTTGTCATACAAACCCTCACCAATAGCTAGAAATCCTTGCCTGCTGCGTGCGGGAGTGAGAGTCGAAACCCTAAACCTTAAAACCTTAAAAGCCCTAAAGCCCTAGACCCTAGACCCTAAACCCTTAAACCCTAAACCCTAAAACCCTAAGCCCTAAACCCTAAACCATAAACCCCAAACCCTGAACCCGAATTCTGGGGCTCTGGGGGCGGAGTTCAGGCGCCTTCGCCCGCGTGCGGCTCGCGCGCGAAAGGCGAAGCCACGCCCTG